GGGGGGCCCTGGGTGGTGCTGGCCTGCGGCGCGTGTCCTCCGCTGCGGTTGGGCCAGAGCTTTCTCTATTTAGAGTTGCACGTGACTCCTGAAGCTAAAAAATTTCCTGATCTCAAACTAAAAAATTTTTAATTTTTAGAAAAGGGAAGTCGATGGGAAAATTTGCAAGTAGGGATAGGCGCGTCACCCCTCTTGCCTGTGCCCACCGGGCTCTGGCTGGCACTGTGTTAAGGTCGCTCGCTGTCGCAGAGCAGCTGTCATCTAGAGACCCCATCATGGAGAGCCCCTCCGCCGAGGCCGGGCCCACACTCCCGGGAGAGGCGCTGCGGGAGCTCCGGGGGCTTTGTAGGGACGACCGCGGTGCGTGGTCCTCGCGGCCGGACTGGTGGCCGTTTTGCCCCACGACTTTCCCCTTTCTGGGTCTTACTCGGGTTTCCCTCCTCAGTCCTCCCAGTCACCAAGAATTAATGGAGCTTCTACTGTGTACCAAGTTCCGTGCCAGCCGCGGGGACCAAGGCAAAGCCAAGCCTCTTACGAGGCTGTCACGACGCGCCCAGGTGCCGGCTGCCAGGCGCGCAGCAGGGTCCTCCAGAGGGCTTGCACACTAGAAGGAGGGGCAAGACTCGGGTAGCTGGCGAGGCACGTGCCAGGGACACGAGAGGCAAGGGAAGGAGTCATCAAGAAGGAGCCTTCCTTCGGTGCGACATTGAGCGCAGACAAGGTCAGGACGGCCAAGGATCCATATTTGAAACAAAGACGGTTCGGACAGAGCTGGGTCCCCCAGGCAGCTGAGGAAAACCTGTAGAGGCGGAGAGTCCACCAGAGTTTATCTTGAGCCAGGTGTGGTAGCACACACCTGTAATCCCCAGATACCCGGGAGGCTGAGGTCAGAGGACCTCAAGTCCAAGGCCAGCCTTAGCAACTTAGGCCCTCAGCAACTCTCCAAGACCCTATCGCAAAGTCAAAAATAAAAAGGGCTGGGGATGAGGCTCCGTGGTAGACTCCTGGGTCCAACCCCCAGCCCCCCATAAACTGTGGGTCCTTTGTTATCATGGATTATTTATGCATTCATTTTCAAATTTAAAATGTCATATTAACATAGTGCAGTTGTTTTTCTTCTTTCCTTCCCCCACCCTATTTAAAATTTGGATTTGAGAATAAAAAAAGTACGAAGGAAATAAAATTTTGAATTTGGATCTAAATTTTGAATTTTAATTGTGAATTAAGTTATCTCGGATTGTTTGATCACTTTTCTTTTCTTTAGTACCATGGATTGAATCCGGGTGTACTTAACCACTGAGACCCACCCCCAGCCCTTTTTATTTCTTATTTTGAGACAGGATCTCGCCGAGTTGCTGAGGACCTTGCTAAGTGGCTGAGGCTGGCTTTGAACTTTCAATCCTCCTGCCTCAGCCTCCTGAGCCGTTGGGATTACAGGTGTGCGACGCCCAGCTACATTTATTTCAAAACATCTTGTTGAGCACCACAAATATATACCATTATTGACTGTCAATTTCAAAAATTAAGATTAAAAACACTAAATTTTGGATTTGCAACCAACCTCTGTCCTGTCTCTGTTGTGTCTTGGGGCCTGGTCATGGCCTTGGCAGTGAAGTGCCCTCAGCTGCACACCCACAGCTGCAGAAAACCCTGAGGCCTTCTGATTTATCAAGAGCGCTTGCAAGGTCGGCAGGGGCTGGGGCTGGGGCTGGGCCTGACCCTGGCCTGGCCCTGGCTAGGCTAGGCCAGGCTAGGGAGGCCTAGACTGGACAGACCTCTGGGGCTTGTGTTTTAACTGAGGGATGGTGAATTTGCTGGTGGCCACAAGGGTCCGGCCCGTCAGCAATCGGGAGGCCAGAGAGGGTGGAAGAATTATTGTGGATGTTGATGACTAAGTGGAAAAGATCAGGAATTTAAAGGTGGATGATCCATCGACAAATAGCTTTGGAGACTCCTGGGGGAAGGTTGTGGCATTCAGCTTTGATTATTGCTACTGGTCAGTCAACCCAGAGGACCCTCAGTTTGCATCTCAGGATGTGGTGTTTCCGGGGACGGGAGTACCCTCTGGAGCTGCTAGAGGCTACAACACGGGCCTTTTGGCTTAAGGGCAGACCGGCTCTGGGAAGGCATGCCCCATGCTGGGGACCCCAGCCTCTGTTGGGCTGACACCACGGATGTGTGAGGGTCTCTTCGCCAAGGAAGAAGGCCCTGATCATCGCCTCCCTCCTGTAGGATGAAAGTAAGAGTCACCAGAGGGATGGAGAGAAGCCCCAGAAGACGCAGCTGTGGAAAGGGAGATGAGAAACAGTTAGGTTCTTAGGTCGCAGGACACTCAATTCCCTACCCTTGGACCTAAGGAGCCATGTCCCCTTCTGTGGCCCAGCTGACCCTGGCTAACTCGTCCCCCTTTCCTTCACATCCCAAAGTTTAATACTAGATTTTGAGATTTCTTTTTCCAATCCTTTACTGGGTGATTTTGTAGGGAAATGGTTCTCAAACTCCAGTACCTCTTCCATGTTCAATGTCCTTTCTAAATATATATATATATACATTGTAGTTGGGCACAATGTCTTTATTTTATTTTTGTATTTTTATGAGGTGCTGAGGATCAAACCCAGCGCCTCACACGTGCTAGGCGAGCGCTCTAACACTGAACCCCAGCCCCAGCCCCTAAAAAAAAATCAAGATGTAATTCACCTACCATAAAATGCCAGTACTACAAAATTTTGAAGTATATAGTTTAGTGATTTTTACAATATTTCCAAGATTATACAAGCATGACCACTGATTCTAGAACATTTCCACTAACCCCCAAAGAAAAAATATTTTCTTAAAAATTAAGTGATTATAAAAGATTTTTTTTTAAATTATGAGTGTATGAAATAAAAATATACAAATCTTAAAAAAATAAAAGAAAGCCTGCAAACCTGGATTTATTTCTGTGAAACATCCTGAATTCTCTTTCTTTTGGTGCTGGGGACTGAACCCAGGGCCTTGCACATGCTAAGCACACACTCTGCACTGAGCCTTGAACATCCTGATTTGAAAACGTTGACAATTTAAAAGCTTTGAAGGATTTCCAAGTCACACGTCTCCTGATGGGCCACCAGTGTGATTCCTGTTTAGACAGTCATTCTGCTTGGGGGGTGTGAGCAGGGGACAGCGTGTCCAGGGGGACAGTAGGGAGGAGAGAAGCCCTGCCCGGTGCTGCGTTTCCTCTGGGCATGGCAGGAAGCAGCTGGAGCCCGCCATGAACAGGGGGCTCCTGGGGCGTGACAGGAGTCCTGGGGTTGGCTAGCAGCTGGGGACCACAGCATGTCAGCGCTGGAGGAAGTTCCTGAGGTCACAGACGTGCTGGCCCATGCTCCCCACAAGGGGTTTCCTCCCAGGACCACGCCAGGCCCTCGGAGCCCTTGCTAGCGCCTCCCAGCACCATCAGGGGCTTGTCAAATGTGCATCCTGGGTCCAGCTCCCAGCAGGATTGCGTCCTTTGACTGGGGGGAGCCAGGAGTCAGGAAACAGAACCCCTGGAAGTGGTGACACAGGCTTGGGCGAACGGCTCAGGTTTCGACTCAGTGTCACTTCTATTAAAGGGGGATAATTCAATCTCCAAGCCTTGCGCAGAGGGAGCCTGGACAGTGCTCAAGAAGGCAGTGAGCCTCGGAGTTAGGATTCGGGATGCGAACACTCTGTCCCGATCCAGGATTCGAACTTGCGAAAAGCATCGCGCCTCCCTGATGTCACGCAGTCTCCTCTGAAGAGTGGCCCCTGGCCCGCAGCCCCGTCCACCACAGCGTGCTGATTTGCATATTAGTATAGCCCCGCCCTCCCTCCCCTTTCCGGTTCACTGGTGGCCAGCGGCGGTGCCACTCAGCGTTCGGGGCCCCTCCCCGCTCTCCTG